GGACCCACGAAATTTGAAGTAACAGAGGACTGAAGAAAGAGATGTAATGAAGAGTTTTCCAACAGCTTACATCTATTTTCGTTAAAGGTGACCACATCAGGGCAAACAGTCTGGGCGGAGCGTGCTCCTCAATGGAAGAAACAAAACGTGCAAATAAAATATTGACTGGAGAATTTCAGGTGAAGAAACGACTTGAGAGGTTTGGTTTTCTGTGAAAACCGTGACGAATCTTTCCATAAAACCATATTGTCTAGTTCAGTAACGACAACCTGAAGAAGGAAGGCGTTGTTCGATGCAGATATTTTGTGACAAAGAGCCCCTCCTCTAAAAAGATATAGAACAAAATAGTGTCACTTTGTTCCTTATTATACTGGTCTGTTAAACTCTTTTGTGCGTGGAAAATACCAATTTGCCTGCTGAGTAGCAGGAAATTGGTTTGGTAAATACCGTAAACTTAATCTGCAAAGAGAAAGCCGCTGTTACAATTAACATTTAACGCTTTTAAACATTATTCTTCTTAAATGGCGAATGAATTAAGTAGAAATTGAATTTCTACCTTAAACCGAGTCAGAAGCTTCCGTATTCTATTCCACCAATAAGAGACATTCACACGACAGTAAGCAACGGAAACAAAGTAACGGTGTCCGCAAAATGTACCCTTCACCTCACAAATTCTGGGATAAAAGTAGCGTTTTGCTTCATGATAGGAAAAACACCATTACACTGATTACAAAAAGAAGCTAATAATATCAATTAAATGGTAAATATATCTTTCTTTAAGAGCCTTGCCATGAAGACGTCATTCCGGTCTCTTGTGTTTCCCAGGAAAGCGTAACCCTGCTGCCCTGCTCATTACTGACGCAAGACGCGATGGTGAAACTTCTGCATGCGGATAATCGCTAAAAAAGCAAGTAAATACCGCGCACTGACGTTGCAAAAGGAAGCGAAGTGTTCAAGAGACTGCTGTGATAATAATATTGTGGTTCTATATCTTGGGGGCATTCGGTTCGAATCCATTGGCTTACTATCCTCTGCCAACTGCTTAGAAATTATTGTATATTGAGGATTCATAATAGTTTTCTCATATGTAAACAGTAAGTAATATCTGCAGTTGATACAGTGTCGTTAAATAACCTAAAAATCAAGAGGCCCGTGCCGGTGTAGAATCCAGCGTCTGCTCTACATGCAGAGGAGAAGCCAGCTACTATTTCCGGCGGTCACAGATGCTCATGTCTTTTTGTGCTCATTTAGTGATGGTTTCTTCACTATTCAGATCGTTAATTTTCAAACTGTGGTCCGCGACGGAACATCTGATGGTTGGTAGTATTACAGAGTACGTATAGAAACCTGGTATATGACATGTAACAAATACAATAATTTAAATTTAAAAACTTGTAATGAATCCTTGTTTAAAACTTACTTTAAAGTGATGGATGAAAAAGAATGGTCTATGGCAACTTTAATCACAATTATTCTCCTTCTCGCAATTGCAACCTCTTTACGGCTAAGGGAAATATTATGACAGATGTTCGGCCAGCGCATGCGCCACCCGCCCATGTAGTTGCCAAAACGCTGGTTTGGGTATTTTATTGTTAGTGGGGTGGGACTAAGTCCCTTGTATTGCGGCCACTTCTGGCCTATTGTACCAGCCCCAGATAATAGGTGAGGGTGACTGTGGAGCAATTGATGGAATGAAGATTGACAGGGGAAACCGAAGTGCTCGGAGAAAACCTGCCCCAGCGCCACTTTGTCCACCACAAATCCCATTTGAACGCGGTGGGAGGTGGTTTAGGTTTGACCTATGTAGCGTCCAGTAATATGATGGTCGTGAACGAAAAATTAAAGGATGAGGAAGCAGGAGGCCATGGCCTATTGTAAGGGAGACTTAGTTATCTTTAGAGTTGAGGAAAACTAGGCCACGTGTGTGCTCGTGGGCACTGGGGGCCAAACCACGTGCCTGCTCCTGTCATGGTTAAAAAAAAAACAGGAGGAGGAAATGCAACAACATATTAACGCCAAAAATTTAAACATTATTTTCAATGTGGTCCCAGCTGTGTTTCAATGCAGAAACCCACAACTACTGGATGGTCCTAGGATTATTAAACGCGAGTTTGTAAGCAAATTTCCTGGCTGCTTCCCTTGGAAAAACTGTTCGTGCATTCTCACTGTGTAACCTGTATAACTGTTGAAAGACCGCATGTTCCAGAGAAAAGTTCCCAGTCAGCTGTGTCAGAATGGGAAAGCGAATCGTTATATTTGCAGGTGGTAAATCTGGTGTGGATTACATCTCGAGCCAGCCTGCTGAAGGTGATGTAAGTAGGATATGTGGAGACCACTTGAATGCCACTGAGCTTAATGAATAGGGACATGTGACAATCTTCAACTGTACGCCTGTAGGATCTTGTGTCATAAGAAAGACAGCAATGGATTAATAAATTAGGAAAGATAGGGAATAAAGCGAGGCCGGCGCGTAAGACTGACAACCTTACCGCTATCTTTGAGCCGATTGTCTAGATAATGTGGGACCCTCAACGTCTCACAACCCAATGGGCCTTCACTGCCTGGTACAGGGATAACTTTACTTTTTACTTTTATTTTATGGAAGTGAACGGTAGGGACCTATTAATACAGCCTGCACCATGTTACTTTCTCGCATAGGTTACACTTGAACCCTGAATATGGAGGTCACATGTTCCTCCTCAACATCGGTTGACTCTGAGCGGGCTACAGGGTGATATATTCCAGACAGAACTCTTCATAACCATACCTGTAATAATTTCAAATCCTACATATCTAGTGATATAATTTAAGGAAATATATAAACATTTATCTTCAAGGAATAGGGAAAATTAAGTTCAGATAGCCAAACCTTGTGTCGAGAACCGAACCCGGAGCCACCCAAATACGAAGCAGGAGTGCTAATTGCCTGGTTGCAGCGTTAGGTGTACCATTACTAATAAATTTGATCGGATATGTAATCCTTTTATTATTATAATCGAAAACAGAAAAACATACCAGTTACTCCTTGTGCAGTATCTTTTAACTACGCTTTCAGTATGGAGACTATACATATTCGGATGACAGGCGGATTAATGAATGTGGAGCAGTTGGAGTAATTATAATTGATAAGCGAAATATAAGTATTTGGAGAATCCTCGTCCCAGTGCCATTTTATTCACGACGAATATGACCCGACCCAAGATCTAACCTGAACCCTCGAGGTGGGATTTCAGCTACCTGAGAATGGGATATGAACCAACACATAAAATATTCAGTACATTGAGAATAGCTCAGTTACCGGATGATGTGCGACCCATGAATGAAATCTTCTACTAAGTGAAGTTTGTTGGTTTGCAGAATAAATTTTCTATATTTTGCAAAGTGCACTGAAACTTTCCGGTACGTGGGGCGATTTTACAGGTAAAGAAACACTCACATTTCACCGTCTCTCTGCAACTTCATCCATATATTAAAATTCACAATTCGAAGACGCTTTGTTTCTTTTTAAGATTTATTTAATATTACATATTTCGGCCTAAATGGCCATCATCAGGTGTATAAGATTGTAGATGAAAACTCCTCTTTTGTTTTTACGTGGTTGTATTTTGCATTTTATGGGTAATGCACAATGCTTATAAAACATTTTTAGTTACGTTTTAGATTATCACGTTGTGGTTAATTTGTTGTGCACGTGGTTTAGTGTATAGCTACATACAGCACAAAGGAAAGAAACCAACACACCAAAAAATATACACAAGAACCAAAACATATGTGCGTAACAAAACTAACCACAGCGTGATGATCTAAAAAGAAATAAATATTTTATGTGCATTCTATATTACTCGTAAAATGCAAAACACACCAGCATAACAACAGAGCAGCTGTTTCCATCTTAAATCTTATACACCTGATGATGGTCAGTTAGGCAGAAACATGTAATATTAAATTAATCATAAGAAGATACAAAGAGTCTTCGAAGTGTGAATTTTAATATATGAAGTTGCACAGAGATGAAGTGAGAGCGCTAACATTGGCATACACAGTGCAACAGGATGCTGCAATATAATATTACGTACAGTTAAATTCATCAGGTCGGTATTAAAACCCAGCAACCATAAACAACCACGTGAATATCACGGATGACGTAAATACTTATACTTAAAGTCACAGACAAATATTAATACCATAAAAGTAAATTTATATTTTTAAATATTTTGTCCCTTTTAAAATGCCAAAACATATAAAACGTAAATATAATAGTCCATCATTTTAGCTACCTTTAACGGTATATCTTGTCACCTATATTCGTGAGGTACTTGGTTCGGATCTCGACAAGGTTAATTTCAGTTTTTCGTAGCCATCATCAGTATCACTAGGTGATTAGAACGATAAAACAAAGAAACAAGCAATAGGCCTTCTCTTTCCAAACACATATCTACCAATCGTGATGTTCATATTTCATTTGACTTTATATAACATCTGAAATCGAAACGGCATAGTTAAATAAGTCTAAGATTCAAACATTACATAGGCAGAAGGATTACATTTTGGAAATACCAATCCGCATAGAATCTTTTTACTTCTTAGTCTCTTGTGTAAAAATGCTGCATATTAAAACGTACGCCTGCATAACTACACTTGTTTACGTTGTTTTATAACTGACACTGACAATATCGGATAAATTTCGATTTCCATCCAAATTATTTATTTTAAAATTTAAAGCATTTCATCGAATTTATAAATAAGGAACTGTTAGAGGCTCATGTACTGCTTCGAATTGACGATTATTCTTATAGGTTTATCAGTCTCTTGCAGTACAACAAAAATCTGCTAAATATCACAGGGTGGGTCTCATTTTGAGACATAGAAATAACATTCCAGCAGGCGTCAAAATATCTGTGTTCCTATGACATTACTGTCCGTGCAGACATCTTCTGTCACCGAATGTAGACAACATGACCACGATCACCATGGCCGCCATGTCCACAGCTATGTCCATCTCAGTGTTTACCGCCACCATGCTTTCCACCGTGCTTTCCACCATGCTTTCCACCGCCGTCCTTATGCCCAGCACTGTACGCCCATTTCTTTTCCACGTCATCGCCAGACTTTTTGCCATGGTGTTCCTCGTGTGCGTGATGCTCCGCATGGCCATGCTCACTCTTGTGGCCCTTGTGGTCGTCATGATGGTGACCTTTGTCGTGATGACCCTTCTTCCCATGATGTTGTTCGTGATGTTCAGCATGGTGATGTCCTTCCTTTTCGTGGCCTCCTTCCTTCTTGTCGTGATGCGCATGGAATTCTCCGTGCTTGCTGTGTTCACCTCCCTCGTGGTGCTCGTCATAGAACTCGTGCTTCTTTTCGTACTCGTCTTTCTTGTGGACGTTGTGCTCGCCCTTGGTGCTATGACCTTTCTTGTGTTCTCCCTCTTCACCGTACTTCGCTCCCTTCTCTCCTTTCTCACCGTGATGATGTTCGCCATGGTGGCCTCCACCTTCATGGTGCTCCGACTTTTTACCCCCTTGTTCATCGTGGTGCCCGCTGTGGCCCTCCTTGTCGTGGTATCCATGCTCTGCCTTCTCGTGGCTGTGATGTCCTTTGTATCCCTTATCACCTTTATTACCGTGACTAGCATGATGTTCCGAGTGATGTTCCTTGCCACCCCCTTTTTCATGATGACCACCGCCCCCGCCACCATGCTTGCCGCCACCATGCTTTCCACCTCCGTGTCCACCATGCCCATGCCCAACACTTTCATGGTGTCCTGAAGCGGATGACTTTAGGTCAGTTTCCAAATCATCAATGACTGCCGGTGGAGCTTTCGTCTTCTTGGGGACGCCTCTCAGACGTCGCGGCGCCACTCTTACAGGCTGTGCAACTTCGGGGCTGACTTTCTTTCTCCTAACCACTTGTGGTGTTGCGAGGTCCGCTGTCGTGGCCGCAGGTTTCGCACGCTGTACGATCCGAACGCTTTCGAAAGCCACAACATCATCGTAAGTCTGATCGGACAAATCGGCAGCAACACAGGCGCACAGTACCCACAACAAGGATAGGAAAATTAAACACCCGTGGCCCCACGGAGGTGCCATAACGAAAAAACAGACTTCGCAGCAATAGGAATCCGCGTATGACAAAGAAGACAGATTCACTGACATCCCAGTTGTGATGGGTGTATTTATATATAAATAAGTGGAAAAAGTTTCAGATGGGACATGACGAGAATATAATGGATCTTCACAGTAGAGTTACGTTTAGTCGATAAATTTCCATTAACGTGAAGCAGTTAAATGGTCGTTACTTTCCATCTTCGTGTTGTGATGTGTGTAATTGCCAAGTTTGGCGACGTTCCGAGATTGTCACCAAATGGAACATTCTTGTCACGCTTTCAAAAAAGTAATCCATCATTGCGACCACCTTTCTTCCTTTCCACCGTCGTGCTCCAGTTCAATGAACCATCTTCAGAGGCTCTTCTGATCTGTGTGCAATACATTGCAGACACTCTTGCGTAACGGTTACGTAAGAATAGAGAGTGCTCAATCTGTAGCTTAATTAAATTTGCTTTTACACTTCATTATAAATTCATAATACTTCCACATGCATCAAATTAATTGTTATCGGTTCTACGCAGAAACATGCATAAATCTACAAGAAATTATGTAGCCGTGTCTGCATGTTCGTCTGCCCGCATATTTCATATCCAGAACTATTTGACGTATTTCGACTGATTCTGAAGCTGAAAGGTTTTAATCTAATTTCGGTTTGTCGATCTGACACAACCTTTAGACGTCTTAATGCGAAGATCGACTCAAAACATGCAGAAAGGCAAACAGTTCGTTTTACATGACGTAAAAATATACGTCTCTTCAAGACCAAGAGCATTAATATTGAACACCGATTTGGTAAACACATACTCCACAGAACACTAGGAAAATAATTTCAGATTTTATACAGTGTGAAAATTGTAGTGTGACGTCTTTGCAGCAGTGGGTCTGTATGTGCAGTGTTACAGGGAGACTGAAATTTTGCCGCAAATCGTTCGACCGGTCTGGCGGAAGGGACACAAGCTACTCACCTCAGCTACTACCGCACCCGTCAGGACTCGTGGCGTTGTCCAAAGGCTGACAACCTATGCACATCACATTTACTGTTCGACGTCGTCTCAGTGAATCTCTGAACAGGGACTGTGAAGCACATTTTTGCGTAATTTTGCCTGTCGACCATAATCTCAAGCGTCGGTTAGTATATAAACATTCAGTCATATGCATTACATGTTTAGTTTAAATGACAGGTATTCACCGGTATTCACGATATTCACGTGACAAATAATAATAATAATAATATTCTATAAATTTCAGGACGTTTCATTTCCTAACTAATTTCAGACAGAAGGTCCCTGTAGGACGAAAGAGAAACAAACAAAAAAGCCGCCTTCTCGATCAAGAAATATGTGGATAGAATCGGGTCTAGGTTTAAACAGCCCCCCCCCAAAAAGAAACCCTCTCAGACGCCTTATCCATGAGGCCGATCATTAAAGTTTCAGGTTTCAACTTTCAACTTTTCCTTTTTTCCAAAAAGGGACTTCAACAGATGAATGTAAAGATTTTATGGGCGTGAAACGAATGAGTGGGAACAACAAAAACCACTTCTCCAGTATTTTCTGTTATCTTGTTGGGTTATATTTGTGTTCTGTTGTTCTGTGGGCTAGTCGACTGTGCTGCGGTTCGGAACACACGCGGAAAGAGATGAAACGAGGAGCTTGTTTCTCTGTCGCTGAGGCGGCCGAACGGTTTTCGAAGGGTTCTCAGATAACATCCTTACATTTTGGATTATGAATAAAGGCTGACTAATTGCACGGAATCTCAAAGAATTAATTTGGAAATGAATCTATGTATACCGGAAACTGGATCTGTGGACATAGAGCCCGTGCATTCGAAAAGTAAGAACTGAGTCCACGTGAATGATCAGTTTGGTGCTGAGATCTCTTTATTTCTGTGGAAAGGGCGTCTGTAACCACGTGAGAGAAGGCCAGATGGGTCAGCAAGTGGTCTCGACTCAGTGAGGAAAAGGCCTAACTTCGTACTTTTACGTAAACATAATAGAGTTTTAACATATTTTTGTCCCTTAAAAAGGAAGTGAAGTAAGCTTATGAGAGCACAATATTGTGTGTGCATATGCTCCCCCCATTTCAAAGTTCGAAATACTTGACAGATTTTTAACAAATTCTGGGATGAGCAGTATGACATAAGGACACGCAGCTCTCCCTGACTTCGTGCAATGAATAGCAACATAGTGGACCCATGAACCCGTGGATTGGAACCGATACCAGTGACACATTACATCCGTTCCTGACGTTATGAACGATAATACTCGTTCATTTCTATAAATTTGTGTTCTTTGTTCAGGTAATCATTTTTGTATTTTTGCACTATGGGTACTTTGCTTATTGTATGTACTTTGTTTTGTATTGTTCCCTTTATGTTATAGACTTTCCTTGTCTGTATCAGCGCAAGTTTTACTGCCACCGGGTGAATACCCAATTGCAGTAAAAATAATAATAATAATAATAATAATAATAAATGATGACCGCTGCATGAAGTCCACTTTTAGCTTCANATAATAATAATAATAATAATCTATGTTTACAATTGCAAAAAGACAGAAATTTGACTTGACTACAGTTCCATCTGTGCATGAATCCAGCACGCTAGACCATGAACTGAACTCATTTTCGCTGGTTTCGATTTTAAATTCCTGCAGTCTTACTCATTTATAATGTAATATTTATATAACCAGGGAAGTATGATTTGTGAGTTCTGCTCAGAACATCTTGTACTTTTTGAGCTCACGGGGTACAAGCAAAAGAGTCGGACACTCCTTCCGTCAAACTCTGGAAGATCAACACGTATAACGCATAAGGCTGTAGAGATCTCACTGTGTAATAAGAGGGAAAGTCAGTAAACAGGTCACAAATGTAAGTAAAGCAATTGTGGTGGACGTAATAGGTTTTCTATATGTAACACTAGATAGCAGCACAGTCTCGCTCCATGACAGCCTAGGTAGCAGACTTGAATGGTAATGATCAGAGGCTGGTTTCAGTAGTCAAATTGTCGACCGTGATTGAGGCATATACTACCAAAGATCAGTGTTCTGTTATGCGTTTCTTTGTGGGCAAAAGGACTCGATGTAAAGGATATCCATGAAGAAATGTTTCCTGTTTACCAAAAATGGGTGCCTCACTACCAAACCGAATCAAAACCTGCTTCAATGCAATGGGAACTTCCGAGCTCACCTTCAACCAAAAAGTTTAAGGTTACGCCATCAGCTGGGAAGGTTATGCTTACAGTATTTTCGGATTCTCTACGAGTACTGTTTGTCCGTTTTCAGAAGCGTGGTAAATGCGAGTTCTGCACAGTACTATGAAATATGTTGAAGCTTCGGGGTTGAATTAGCAGAAATCGTCCAGGTCAACTGGCAAGAGGACAAGAGGAGCACTGCTTCATTATGACAATGCCAAACACCACACAGCCCGAGCAACCAACGAGAGAATTGAAGAACTACAGCGGGGACTTCTTGAACACCGGCCTTGCAGCCCGGACTTGGCCCCCAGTGGCTTCCATCTGTTTACTCAGCTAAAAAGCCATATTAGTGCAAAGGTTTCTCTTATGACAAAGAGGTTGAAACGGAGGTGCGTAAGTGGCTGGGACAACAGTAAAAAAAACTTCTATACTACGGGTTTCGACGCACTGGTAAAGCGATGTGACAAGTGTATCAATGTTGGTGGAGGATATGTCGAGAAATAAATGTTTTTCTTGGTTCGAGTATCACATGTTTTATGTTTTATATCCATTTTTGACATATTTACTGACTCTTCCTCGTAATATAACAATACTGGATTACTATAGAGGAATGAAAACACTTTCAAAATTTTATAGAAACCAAAGTATTATTGATATAACCAAAATACTTACATGATTTCTTAGTATATATCTTTAAGTTTGTATGACTATGTTACAAATGTTCCATGTGTGAGCCTTTTGTCACACTACAGATATAATACGATAATCCAATTCGTTCCGAACACACCGGAACATGTCCTCGTCAGCACATGCAACAGCTGTTGTGATGCGTTGCTTTAGATCTTTACACTTAGAGGAAGTGGAGGAACAAAAACTCTTGTCTTTGACATATCCCCAGAACAAAAAAAAAGAAACAACAACAAGGCGTTAGATCCGGACTTCTTGGTGGCTAACGTGTCAGTGCCATGTTCTGGTCTGTTGAGCGGCCAATCCAACGTCGAGGCAGATTTTGATCCATGTAATTTCGAACCTCCATGTGCCAGTGAGGCGGAGCTCCATCTTGGATGAAAATGAAGTTTGAACTGAGTTGTGTTCCTCCACTTCCTGCAAAAGATCTAAAGCAACGCATCACAACAATGTTGCGAGTGCTGACGAGGACATGCTCTTGTGTGTTTGGAACGAATTGGATTATCGTATTGATATCTGTCGTGTGACAAAAGGCTCAAGCATCGACCATTTGTAACTTAGTCATACAAACTTACAGACATATACTAAAAAAACATGTAAGTATTTTGGTTATATCAGTAATACTTTGGTTTGTATAAGTTGAAAGTGACTATTTTTTTATAATATAAAACTGATTGGGGAACCTTGGTTCCCAGGATTACCGTTGAAAACGTTATTGCATTTGGATTTGTATTGTAATAAATGAATAATGGAAAAGAAAAGGAAGATGATATAAGGTTAGGCTATTCGGGACGAACAGCCTTAAGGAGGGAGAAATGTGACACAACACCTGAAAATCGGAGCAGTGGAGGCCGACCCAGGCGCCCATTTCTAGACAACGGCTCGGTAATCATTTTTCCACAGCAACGAACACGACTGAAGAAGCAATACATTGCATAGAGAGATGTCGATTCGTAGGTAACGCATACAGAAACGTTTTCATTACAACGTATAGGTAACGGCTATTCAAACGGCAACGAACCTGTCAAAAAACAGCAACAGCCAAGAACGCGATAACTCTATTGTTGAAGGAGGTGATCTCCATACGGTTCGAACAGAACCTAATT